AAAAAAAAAAAAAAAAAAAAAAAAAAAAAAAAAAGAGAGAGAGAGAGAGAGAGAGAGAAAGAGAGAGAAATAAAATAAACTTTATTTCCACTCAGTGTTTGGGGCTATTATCCTGAGAAATTGTCAAAGAAAGAGTCTGTATATATTTGGACTTCCCTTACTTATCGCCTACCTGAATCCTGTACTTTCTATCAATAGAACTACCGTGCTTCCCCGAAAATAAGACATCCTCCGAAAATAAGACCTAGCACATGGAAAGATAAGACATTCCCTGAAAATAAGACCTAGCGCAACTTTGGGAGAAAAAATTAATATAAGACACTGTGTTATTTTTGGGGAAACAGTAGAAATTGATAGACGATTTCTTAGAAAGCAGAAACATGTTAGCTATAAAAAGCAGCAGGAAGAAAAGGATGGAGACCTAGACTGCCTTTAGGGGTCATGCTCAAGCTGAGGAAAACCAACTGTCAGTGGAAAGCATCTGATCTTTAACCAAAACAACAAAGACAAGCAAGGGCTATCTCTGGAGCCAGGCAATAAGCTGTAGTCGGTAGCACTGAGGGATTGGGAACAGCACTGGGGTAAGGTACCACCAGGTTCACTGTCCAAATGCAGGCTGATAATGTTCTACAAAGAGTTCCTGCTGAAAAGTCACCAAAGCCACTGTTTCCATTTTCCTTTCTTCATCACTTCAAAAAAAATGCAGTTGTCTCCTCCAGAGCCCCAACAAGATGAAAACAGACCAAAAAATGACATCAGGTGGGTGTCAGATGTCTGCAAAGCTGACTACTGTCTGCTTAAGTTTGTGAGACAGTGTTTACCAAAGGAGGAGACTCATCAGAACTTGCCTTTCCAACCAGGCCCTGATTCACAGCCGGCTTTTCACCCTGACTCAATCCATCCTACTCTCTACAACAGATGCCCTTAAAGGAAAATTCTAGTAATGAGCTCAGAATTCTAATATCAAGACTTAGTATTTTTTAAATCCTACCTCATTGTTCAGAGAGAATGTAGCTCACGTATATCTCATTACTAAGGGGTTCTTTTGTTATTGTGTTTAATTCTATTTGGTTGGTTGTCCTCTGGCTAGCCCATGGGCTCCTTAAGAAAAGGCACTTAGGTTAACTCCCTCTCACACACAGTTTACATGCTTAATGAATGTAACATGGAGCAACATTATTTAAATACCACACATAAATATCCAACTGCTACAAGTTGGACATTGGTCACATGTTACTAAGTCTCTATTCCCATCCCTTAAAAAAATAGTTGGAGGATTTAACTTGCCTCCATTGTATTCCATCTTCCTGAGTGGTACTTGCCTCCCCATAGGAGAGCTGGACAGGAACTGGTCACATGACTTGGCTTGGCCAATCAGATGTCATCCCCCAGAACTTTATCTCTTGAGCCACATACAAGGGGAAATTCTTGGTCATCACACTGATGCAGAAATGTACTGACCACTTCTCCCTGGGGTTGGTCACCGTTCCACTTCCAAGCTCAACAAGAATTCCCAAAATTCTTATTTATTTGCAAACTCTGTCCTCCAGCATTTTCTCCTTAATTCTTCGAGCCTATACATTGTAGCTTCTCCAAAATTACCCTTGAATATGTTAGCAAGTTCATTTCTGATGCTTGGAGCCAAGAACACTGAACAGATATATAATAGTAAAGATCAAACTGAATTAGCAAACTAAAATGAAGCCAAATGAACAAAAAAAAAGTGGCTGTGATGGCCTGACAAAATGCTTAAATGTTGGACATTTTATTTGGTTCTACATGTTGAGTACAAACTCTCTGACCCCTGATATCTGGGAAAAACTAGCTGGAGTCTCTCAATTCTACAGCTGGTCTAAATAAAAAACTTGTTCAGATTTCTGAATTTCCCATTTATCTAGTCTTCTGCCATCTTATGCCGTTTGGGTGTCCACTCTGCATCCTCTCTTACAAATCACATTTACAGGCACGCCAGCCTCTCACCAATACACCAATACACACTCACACATACATACAGATGCACATAAAATGTTTTCAGTAAAGTAGGAGGCATTGTGGTTACATGACCTTGAACAGATTACTGAACCTCTTTGTGCGTTGGTCACCACACATCGTAAAGTGGATATAATAATGGCACGTGCCTCATAGGATTGTTTTAAAAACTGAACAGGATAATGCATGATAAGTTTATAGCTCTTGATGCCCTCACATATAATAAATGTTCAACATTCAATGGCTAGCCAGACTAGGAAGCTTTACGGAAACACTGGATCCTACAAGAGGTCAGCACACGCATCATTCACATTGAAAACAAACCAGCAAATGCAGATATGCAACCCATCTACTCTCAGAGTCCCCTACAGCTACTGCAACACTGGATTTTCACTTTTTCCAAGCAGAGCACAGACTCTCCTTCTCAGAACCCCGTCTCTTCAACCTTCTCCCTCCTCTGCTCACTCATTTTCCTATCTTGAGAGCATGTAATAAAATTCCTCTCTTGTGCCAGGGATTTGGGCCTTTCAGCTCGTACTTTATTTAGGCATTTTACCAAGTGAAGACATTTTCTTACCCCCAAAAAAAGACTTTCTGGTTTCTGCTCTTAAAGTCACAAACTTTCCTCTATCTAGTTATAAACTAGAATAACCGTTCCTAGACCCTGGTCATTTGCATATGACCCCCGCGATTTTTTTCACGTTCATTTGTTAATCAATATTTTTAAAATATATAACATTTTCTTTAAATACACTTCTTTTTTATTTTAAAAGGAAATTTCATGCCACTACCTTAAGTGTGCAAAACAGTATTATTCATCATGATAAGACTGCTACCTTAAAATAAATATTTTAAAATAAATATTCATATACTACTTGAAATCATTATGCATCACCAGAGATCCACACATCACAATTTGGTAAATGTGCACCTAAAATATATCTTTTACCATAGACACCCCCAGAGGCTGGACTGAGGAAGAACTGGGTGGAAAGTCTGTGGCATTTGCATGCTTCCAACATTGTGGGTGGAGATAGGGAGTGGGCGAGGATGAGCACATGTTGAGGGAATCAGGCTGGGAATCTGACAGAGAGGATGGTCCACAGATTCTGGGGAGTGATTAGTACCGTGTATCCTGAGCAATACAGGACAGACAGCACCCAAGGCTAATGCTCATCTAATTGAATTGTATTCTACCATTAGAATCCAATGCTGCTATAAATAAATGTTGAAAAGCTACAAATGTTAGGGGTCATACTATCTGAATTCTCTCAAAAGAAGTGCATTTTAACGAACTGATGCAGACCAATACAGTGTCTAAAACTTAAAACAATTTCATAACTTCTCACCATTGATGTTGCTCACTTTGGCCTCTGGATGAACTAAAATCAAATTGAAATTTTCTAGATTCCACTGTGCTTTTTGGGGACCAATAATGTCACAAACTTTTAGAGGGAAATTAAACACATGGCACCAACCTAAAAAATCTGCATTAAAGTCCTTAGGCTCTGCTCCAAGTCAGTATGCTGGGTAAATAACAAAGTCCAGGATGCTTCTACTGCTCATGTAAAATGTTTTATTGTTGAGCAGTTGTAGGAAGCGGTTATAAGGTTAAGCCTGGGACTGACCTGCTGGCCAAGTCACAAACAAGTCCCAGCTTGGAGGGCACAGTCCTCTAAGCATAAAGCTTGATCTTGTGACTGCTCCCTAGATCTTTCCAGGGTAGCTAGCGGGCTGTGGGAGGGGCAGCAAATGCTGCCAAAACAAGTGAATCTTACAAGAACATTGTAAATTACCTTGTTTGCACCTGACAATAAATAAACCATCAGCTTTGCAGTCAGATCTGTTCTATGGCCTCAGCCAGGCACAGAAGATCCACCTAGACTCAGCTTATTCATTTTGTCTGTCTTCCTTATCCTTCGTCGGCCCTCCCTCAGGCTTGCAGAACCCTTGGCTGTGCTGGCATGGCACAAGCAGTCAGAGCCCCAATGCACATCAAAGTGTAACAGAACGCAACCCCATTTGAAATACATGTGGTAACACTGAAGGCTGGCTGATCAACAATCCTTTCCTAAATGCCCACCATGTGCCAGGGATTATGAGTGAGACACATCCTACCCTTAAGGAATTCCCAGGTGTAGTACACTTTGGAAGCCCCGTCACATTACACTAATGTTTTGGTCAAGACATTTGATGGCTCCCTTTTGTCACAGTGTTCTTCTACATGTTCTACTTGTTACATGTTCTACTACCTGCCACACACAGGCACCGAGCCCCCAGTCTGTACCTGGAACATGCTTTTCTACAGGTCTCAGGTGAAGGAACCTGTCCTGCAATTCCTCTAGGAATGTATTTTTTGGAAAGTCTTCCAGCTATCGGTATCTCCAGCTAGTCTTCAGCCTTAAATGCCAACCCATAACACTTATGCCTTACTGAATACAATTTCCTCCCACTACTTGGTTGTGCCGAATAAAACGGCAGCAAGCCCTTGAAGAAATAACTTCCCCAGGAGCCATTCTATTATTTGATCTCCAAGGGCAGCAGGAAATTGCAGAAAAACAAAACAAAAGGCATTCAGGTTTACAGAACTATTCCATGCATCATAATCTAATGACCTGGTTGAATAAAGAAGTGGGCAAATGAGAAACTGCTATAAATAGCTATTTAAATGTATATTCGATGTTTAGCTATACAGATAAATGATATAAAATTGCTTTATGCTATTAATTACATCTTCTTTCTTCCTATTACAGAAGTATCTATTATACTTTCATATAGCATATCTCCCTTAGGTGAAGACTTTTTATATAGGCATCTCAAAACATTTATAGCCATTTTTATTAATCTTTCAAGCAGAAGTGAAAACAAAAACACTAACAATCGAACAGAACCACACTTATGACGATATATGAAACACTTAAGAAAATTCACATCCCTTAGCTTTGTTACAGTGACCTCATAGTTCAGATGGCCATAATGTATAGCACAATACACACAGAACTGTCACATACCTCACATTAGCATCAAGTTCGTCCATTACAGGAAATAGGCATGGGTGAGCTGGATTTCAGTACCCACAGGGTCCTATAATGTGGGAATAAATAATAAGTTAGATAGATGATCAGGTAGGAAAATAGCAAGTCGCTGGTAGAAGGAAAAAATGCCAGTAATTGCTTCCTATTTATTAGGCTTTTGTAGGGTATCAGAAAATATTTAATAAACAATACCACAACAAAAAGCTGTTAGCATATTGAGGTATGTCACCACTGAGTGTTGCAAAAAGTTTTCTTATATTTTACTAATTTCCTGGAGATTAAAACATACAGGTACTTCTTTCACTATTAATCAGTGTATTTGTTATTTTTTTGCTCTTCCAAGAAATAGCTCATTTATATGACCTGCATTAGGCCACTAGCTAGTGCAAATAGGCAGCTATGTTGCCATGATTACAACAGTGCATTGCCTACAATGGTCAGTCACTTTGCTTTATATGAAGATTTTCAGATTTTTCTTAAACCCTTTTCAAGGGTGGGAAGTATGTGTTCCTTCAAAAAACTAGTAAACTCCTGAGAACTTCTACCCAGGAAAAAAAAATGTGCACACACATACATACATACTTTCTGGAGAATCCATGATTCATTCAAACCCAGGCTAAGAACTCCCAGTTGAAGGGGAATTGACTTTCAAACTATCGAACGTTCCTCCAGCATAAACTCTTAGAAGGCCTTACTCCCTTTAACAGATTGACACTCACTGATACTCACTAAATAGGCTCTACACTGACTGTACAATTCTGTTATTCAGAAGAATTCCTGACTCTCAACACGTTTGTTCCACAACACGATGCATCAGAGGATGTGGTGGCAGAGCCCAGTCTGTTGCTTCTGGGTTTACCCTCAGCAAGTCCCTTTTTTGTTCTGAGCTTCATCATCCCCTTCCCAACAGCAGAAAGGATTGGGAGAGATGGTATCTGGGTTCGCTTCCAGCTCTGACATTCTATAATATAATTCCATCTGCTGGTTTTCTAATCAAATCTAATCAAGATAAAACTGTAAATCTGTTTATCTACATAACAGAACCATGGAACTCAGCCTTGGACCTGGGATGCTTTGATCGGGGCGGACCAAACACACATGCTTGGCAGCCAAAAGGAGAGCAGCAGACCACAGGAGCTGGGGAGGATGCAGATCTCATTGGTTTTACAACGTTTGTTCCTCTCAGATTAACAAGGGCTTCTATGTGCATGTCTGAGTCTGGGTCTGGGGCGGGTGAGGGATAGGCTCAGTCTGCAAGTCTCTGACCTCAACCTAAGTAGCTCTGTCCACTTCTATCTCTTTCGCTTTTGAATTTGGAATAATCATTCATTGGAAAAACTTAAATAAAAAGCCCTAACAAGTGAAGGGATAGGGCTTCATCCTCCTTCCTCCTCCATCTAAAAATTATTCCTTTAGTGGTCACATCCATTTCCATGGCCTGACATACCACCTATTCGTGGCCTGACATACCACCTATTCACGGAAGGCTCCCAAAATGATAGCTGTATTCTTGACCTTTCCCAGACTGCTATCGCCTACCAGACATGACAAGTTGGATGACTAAAAAGCATTTCCCACTGAACTCTTCATTTCCCACACCCAACCCAAAACCCTCCTCCTCCCTAACGTTCTCAAATAGTCAGCAAATAGTTCCAGCATTTACCTCGTTACGGAGACCAAGCTACCTCATTTTCTCACCTCCTACAACCAAACCATCAGCAAACTCATTCTATTTTAAAAAGTATTCCTTAACCTGTTCATTTCTTATTACATCCAGAACCAGCACCTTGGCCCCAGCAAGCAACCATCTCCCTTCCCTGGAATTACCTTCCCATCCTCCTAACTGGTCTCCTGCTTCCTCCACTGTCATCTCTTCTCCCCACAATAGCCAGAATCATATTTTTTAAATGTAAGTCAGATCATTTCTTGCCTGCATAAAATGCTAGCGGTGTCCTGTCACACTTAGAATAAAAGCCAAACTCATCTCTTGGCCAACCAGACTTGACATGATCTGGCTCCGGCTCCTCTCCGATCTCAACTTTATTGATGGCCTACACTCACCTGCCCTCAAGCTCAGGGGTTTGGCTATTTTCCTTGGCCATGAAAGCAGGCCCTCACCTCAGGCCTTTTTCACTTCCTGCTGCTTCTCCCTAGAATGCTCCCAGGTGGATCACTCCCTCAGGGCCTCGGGGATGCTACTCAAATGACATGTCCCAGGGAATCTCCTTGATAATCTAAGTAAAATGTCAGACCTCATTTTCTGTAAGTTGCTATTCCTCTTTACGTATTCTATTGTATCTTACTAGCACATCAATTATATAACACTCAATTGCCCCTTTATTAGAGATCTCTCTCTCTCTTGAGAATATGTGTCAAGAGCTCATAGTTATATCTTGATCGCTATTATATATATCCTCAGTGTCTAGAAATATGTCTGATACATCCTCTTCACAGATATTTGTTGAGTCATCTAAGTAGTTAATTCCTTTTGTGAATGAGGAAACTGAGGTTTGAGAATTTGTGACTTTCTCACTGGGAGGTAACTAACATGTGAATCATCCCAGAGTACAATACTCTGATTTAAAAACAAGCGAAAACCATTTTGTTTTATTAAGTTTCCCTGCCAAACACTATCCCTTTTCCTCCTCTTCCAACCTCTGAGTTTTCATCTTTCTTGTTAGATGAAGGGACTAAAGATCAAAAAGGTTAATTGACTTGCCAAAGTCTCACAGCTGGCCGTTGACCAAAGTGGGAATGGAATCCAGGGCTGCAAATTCCAAAACTCAAGCTTTGTCTTGCATAGTTCTCATCACATCACACTTCCTCCCACAGGAGCAAGGGAATCTCCTGATGAAAATGGACATTTGCTGTAATCATCTGTTCCCTCTTTCTCAGAAAACAGTAGCTAGATTTTCATTTGCAGAACTACCCCTCCCCTGCCTCAGTCCCTAGCTCCCTCAGGAGCATATGACCAGGACTGGCCAAACAAAACAGTCCATTCCCTGCCATAGTTAATTAGCTCATCAGCTAGACCAGTGTTTCCCAAACTTCTCTCATGATGAGAATCACCTGGTGGAGTTGTTAAACTACGGATTCCTGAATCCCAACTAAGAAGTGCTAAACTAGAATTTTTGGGAACATATAGGTAAAATTGTATACTTAAAATTGTATACTTAGTTATAGGTAAAATTGTATACTTAGCTTAGAGCACTAGTTAAGTATACAATTTTACCTATATGTTCCCAAAAATTCTAGTTTAGCACTTCTTAGTTGGGATTCAGGAATCTGTAGTTTAACAACTCCACCAGGTGATTCTCATCATGAGAGAAGTTTGGGAAACACTGAGCTAGACTAGTAAAAGCAACACCTGGGATTTTTGCTAGAAAGAATCTCTTTCCCCTGATTTTGCTAAACTGATAGACCATCCGTTTAAAGTTACTGGGGATCATCATTGCCACTTTGTGGGGAGAACCTGAGAATGAAGCTAGCCCAAAGGAAATCAGAATACAGTGACCTGATGACATACTTTGAGGCTTAAGATTGAACAGTGTCTTAAAACAGTTTTACATCTGAATGAACCAACAAATCCCCCCCCCCCCTTAGCCAGTTTACTTGGGTTCGAGCCAGTATTTTCAACCAAAAGAATCCTGCATAATATACTAGAAAATCAATATTGTATTTGTATACAGATTAGAAGGTGGGGGGGGGGGGGGATTGTAACTAAGGAAAACCAGTTAAAAGCTAACTAAAGTTCACCTCACTGGAAATGCATTTGAAAATGTTACAACAAGGGGGGAAACTTCATGTAGTCATACTGTGTCAGATGAACAAAAACAGATCCAGAGGCAGAGAAACATCAATTAGAACCTCAAACCTCAGGGAAGGTAGGGTAGGGTGGGGGTAAGGTGGAGAGATCAACCTAAGGACTTATATGCATGCATATATATGCCTAATCAATGGACAAAGACAACAGGGGGCTAAGGGTATGAATGGGGGGTAGGGGGGAATGGGGGAATAAGTACACATATGTAATACCACAATCAATAAAGAAATTAAAAAAGAAAAAAGAAAAGTCAGCATTACCTGGACCAACTTGAATCATCATGGATCATTTAATAACACCAATTAGACCTTCAAATTTGTTCTATTAATTTAGTTTTTAACAATCACAATATATGTGCTGTTATATTTTGCTCTTCTAAACCCAATGAACAAATTAAAATGATTGCCATTTAGCAAGCCAGTGAAACAGCACACATTGGTTAGAGAGAAAGGAACAGTAGTAACGAAAGAGAAGTTGGTGCCTCTGATTTGATTAATTGTCCACCGGCCACTATTTTCTGCTGTGTCACCAGAGAGAGATAACTAATCAGAGGCACGATTGCAGGAACATCCCTTGTTAGGAAGACTGCATAGAGAGGGCTTTGCAAGGAACCAGTGCTTTTATTATGCATTTTTATATTTCTAGCATCTTAACAAAACACCACCTCGTTAATTAAATCAACTGAGAGCATAGGCGTATGCTCAGGTACAAGCTGTGTCACTTCTGAAGTTGTCAGTTTGGAATTCAATTAAACCATAGTGTGTGTGTGTGTGTGTGTGTGTGTGTGTGTTTTAGTGATAGTCATGCTATATCCAACAACCTGGTTTAAGGGACGAGGTGATACCCTCCATGTTGGTCCCTTCATAAAAACAATCCTGGATAACAACTAGAAAAAGAACATGGGAGTCCCGGGAGTCCCAGAGAAGGGGTTGAGGAGGGAGTCGAACCTTTTCACCATGTCAAATTCAAATGAAGGTCTCAGGAACTTTCAAGGCTTGGGCAAGCTCAAGCCACTAGAATTATTCAAAGTAAAGCTACGGCAACAAAGAACTCTGTCAGATTTCTTGGATCTTCTTCTCCTTGATGAATATACTCAGACTCTGATCTTTCCTTTAAAAAGGAGGAGGAGGAGGAAAAGACTAGTTTACATATGCCACCCAATGCTTACTCCAACCTTCAGTTTTCTGGTTTATCTAAAGGGCAAATCCAAAAGGTAAGTGCACCCC